CGATATTTTATCAAGAGCAACATTTTTCGCTGTAAGGCTTCGTTTTGAAAAAAAATAAAATGCGAATTTTCAGGCACGTTTAAAAGGTGAAGAAGATTAAGCTTGAGGATGGCTTATTTTTGAAATCTGTGTACTTGTTTCGGGAAAATTTCGTTACTTCCGACCAACTAAAGCCTGCCGAGTGAAGTTTGACCTGAATTTGATTTGGCAAAAATTCCCCAAATTTCGGAAATTTTGCCCAATATTCGCCCGGATTTCCGAAAACACCCAGTAACTCGCTTATTCGGAAATTCACGTGAAAAGTGAATATCAGCTTTACTATGCATTTTGTCCTCCTCTATCCAGTGGGGTGCTCAGAATGTTTCCATCGTTTTTACTTTTGGGGATTTTTTTGGTTTTTTGGAAACAGCGTTTTTGTCATTTTTTTTGAGAACCGCCCATCTGAGAGGTTTGAAAAAAAATGCCATTGAGGATCTCGAGACCTATCGGACATTTTACCAAGAGTAACATTTTTTGATCAGAAGCTTCGTTTTGAAGAAAAAAATTAAAATGTGATTTTCCAGCCAAATCTTTAAGGCTGGACCCAAAGAAATTTTGCGCAAAAAAATCAAAAGTGTTTTTGAATTTTTCATTGTGCATGCGTTTTTTGATTGGCAAAATGCGTGTCAAAGTGAGTTGGTTTGTTCCGCAACAAATTTCCCAAGGGCGCTACATGGAAAATAAGGAAACTTTGACACAGACTCTGGTAAAAAGAGCCTCAGGGTGGCGTATTTTTGAAATTTTTTTATTCATTTTGAAAATTTTCCTTGTTTTCAACATACTAAAGCCTGCCAAGAGAAAGTTTCGCTCCAATTCCATTCACCAAAATTGGGGCAAATTTCCGAAAATGTTTCCAAAAATCGTCCGGAAATCCAAAAATGTCCAGTAGCTGGCGGATTTGGCACTTTAAGGAAAAACTCAATATAAAGTTTTTTATGCATTTTTGCCTATTCCATCCAGATGTGTGCTCAGAAATGTTCCATCGTTTTTAGTTTTGGGGATATTTTCGGTTTTTTGGAAACAGCGTTTTTGGCATTTTTTCGAGAACCGCCCATCTGCGAGGTTTGAAAAAAATGGCATTGAGGATCTGTTGACGCATCGGACGTTTTACCAAGAGTAATATTTTTTGCTCAGAAGCTTCGTTTTGAAGAAAAAAATTTAAATGTGATTTTTCAGTCAAATCTTTAAGGCTGGACCCAAAGAAATTTTGCGCAAAAAAATCAAAAGTGTTTTTGAATTTTTCATTGTGCATGCGTTTTTTGATTGGCAAAATGCGTGTTAAAGTGAGTTGGTTTGTTCCGCAACAAATTTCCCAAGGGCGCTAGGTGGAAAATAAGGAAACTTTTACACAGATTCTGGTAAAAACAGCCTGAGGATGGCGTACTTTTGAAACTTTTTGATTTATTTTGGAAAA